AGTGATGAAGCAACTCTGATGTCACACAAAGCATTGGCCAATGGTTGTGTTTTACTCTATTCCAAACTGTATGGCATAAATAGTTTGATAGTTTACACAGAAAATAACAAGTGAAAAATACCACAAAGAACTTTTCTTAGAGGATTGAGACTGGGGCTCATAAGAGATCATTTACAGCAGAGGAAAAACTATGCAAAAAAATTGAGGATCACACTGGTTATCTGACAGGGGAACATGCAGGTGCAGCATCCCGAAGACCTACTATGACGACAGGAAAACCAAAAAGATGTCAACTGTGCCCTACAAGAAAGGCCAGGAGAGCAAAGCATACATGCTATCAGTGTAAACAACATTTGTGTATGGAACATGCAATTTTTTGTGTGAAGACTGCCTCGAGTGTAACAATTGAAGCAAAGATTATTTTTGTTGTAGAGTTCTATTGGTATTTTCACTGTAGTTCACATAGGTTTTTATTTCTGATGTTATCCTGTAGGGTTTTTTTTTTGTAGGTTTTGTAAGCAAGTAAACAGTTAATATGAAAATGCTGATGTCACTCTAAGCAGTCATTACACATTTGATATGCTATTTTACTGCTGTCTTATTTCCCTTAGTGCATGTTGTGCAACACAGTAGGAAGCTCCTGACAAAACAGGAAAGGAAGTGACGAGAATAGCCTGCTGCATAGGAAAGGAAAGCTAAGCACAGGTGCTGTCAGTGTCAGAGAGACGTGTGATAGAACATGCAGCTGTCATATGTGAAGACTGCATTGGGTGTGACAGTTGAAGCAAAGATTCTTTCTATGGTAGACTTTTGTTTGTGTTTACAATGTAGCTCACATAGATTTCTATTTCTCATGTTATTTCTTAGGTTTTGTAAGCAAGCACAGAGCTGATATGAAAATGTTGTGTCTATTCTAAGCACTCATTATATATTTGATATTTTATTTTATTCACATCTTATTTTCCCATTACGTAGATGTGATAATTGAAGTAAACTTTTTTTGTAGAGTGCTAGTGATATTTTCATTGTAGTTCATATAGGAATTTATTTCTGATGTTATCTTTCAGGTTTTATAAACAAGTACACAGGTGATAAGGAAATGTTGATGTTGATTCTAAATGTGCAATACATTTTAAGAACTTAATACTTTATTGATATTTTCTGTTCTTATTAACTACACATTGCATAATATAAGAGCCTCCTGCCAAAACAGCAGGATAAGCCACATGTGAAGTATCTCCTATGAAAAGGCCAGGAAAGCAGAATACATGTGCAGTCAGAGTTAAATGAGACGGGTGTATGGAATGTGCTATTACCATGTGTGAAGACTGCCTTAGGTATGATAATTGAAGTAAAGCTTATTTTTTTTCGTAAAGTATTGTGGAAGATTAGCTAATGGTCAACTTATAACACCCAGCTGAACTGAATCAGTGTCGTTCTGGGTGTGGGAGGCCCACCTGAGGACTGTTGCCAATAGAATAGAAGCAGAACTGGAGGGGAAGACGGTGCTGCTGATTCTCCCGGAGAAGCTTGTCATGCTGGCTTTCCTGATATGAACTCAGCTATTTTTATTACTGAAGGAGCTTGGGTCCTCGATGTTGCTGAGAATGGCTGCAGTTCTCTTTGGGGGAGCTCTGGCCCTTACCTTGAGTGTCGCTTCCTGGTTCCAGTATCGTTTTCTCAGCCTGCAGCTGCAGACTTTCTAGCTTCTACCACTGACCTCTGGGCCTTGCTAGTGCAGTCTTGACACAGACTTGCATGAGACATTGTTGTGGGCTCTAGGTCTTCAGCCGAACTGGTGCAGGACACTGCTGTGGGACCCAGGTCTTCAGCTGAATCTTTGGGTCTCTAGTGTGTGGACAGGTCTCCCACACCCTTTTGCATTTGACTCTTTGGGTGAATTTTTTTTTTTTTTTTTGTCTTTGTGAGACAGGGTCTCGCTGTGCAGTTCAGGCTTGCCTTGAGCTCACTCTGTAGCCCAGGCTGGTCCCGAACTTGCAACCATAATCCTGCCTCAGCCTCCCGAGTGCTAGGATTACAGGCATATGCCACTATGCCCAGTGTGGGTGAATATTATAAAATAATCCTAGAAATTATGTATCCCCTATTATCCTTTCCCTTGAAAACCCTGAGTACAAGAAGTGCTATTGGTAGTTTCATTGTACTTCATATAGGAATTTGTTCTTTTTTTTTTGGTTTTTCTCCGGTACCGGGAACTGAACTCATGACCTTGCGCTTGCCAGGCAGGCGCTTTGCCACTGAGCTAAATCCCCAGCCCCAGGAATTTGTTCTTTTTTAGACTTTTACACCAAAAACCCAGTCGATGTTGAAAATTTTGATGTTTTATAAACAATAAATTTAATATTTATTTTTAATAAATGCAGCACCTTATTTTTGTGATTTTTTTCTGTTAAGTACTCATTGTTTAATATAATAAAAATAATAAAATTAATAATTCATCAATACAAACATTCTTAAGAATAAATGTGTGACACACACATGGTTGTGCCTCTTTATGACAAAAAGTGTGTTAGGCTCTGAGTTAAACTATGTAAAAACTTTGACTCGGCCAGTGATGGTGGCCAGGGTCTGCAGTCCTAAGTACTCAGGATGCTGAGGCAGGAATGTGAGAGCCTAGGAGTTTGAGGTCAGCCTGAGCAGCAAAGGGAGACCATGTCTGCCAACCCCTAACGCATCAAGCACCCCACCCCACCCTATTGCAACCTGTTTGCAAGCCCCAACAAAGCCAAAGGCAAGCTGCTTCTCCTAAGACTGTCCTCCTATCCTGAAGAGTTCGTGTGCTTGCTATGTAAGACCACTCCTTTTATCCATAGCCAGTGTAGATTCGATATAAGTAATTTATGCCTGCTTTGCTGAGATGGTCGTTGTAAAGTGCTGTGTTTTGTGTTTGTTTAGGTCTGGGTGACATTTTCCAGCTGCAACCCAGCCTAGCTGCGGGAGGCTGAGGGCACTTGCCCCGGGACTTGTCCTTTCTTTCCGCCTAGCATCTATGACGGCTCAGTAAAACGCTTCAGTCCCAGAGATCTCTTCTGTCTCCAGGGTTTGGGTTTAACAATGTTTCCGAGGGTTTTTTTTTAGTATGCTGGGGAGTGGGAGAAGAAAAGGATACGTCATAAAAAAGGTCTTTGTTCAGATTAATTACATCTTGGCAGAAAAGAAGCTGGTCTTCGTAAGACTGCTCCTTGGCTGGAACCCGCTCAGTTTCTGAGACGGCATTAGTACCACCTGCCACACCTACCCGGGGAAGCAGAGGAATCAGAATATGTGCGCCTGTTCGCGCGGTCCTGAGGGCTTCGCTGAGCCAGGGTCTTGCCAAGTTCCCAAACTGTCCAGGCTGCGCTTGCTCTGTGAGCCGCCTGGGGTGGGATTGCAGGTATGGGCCACCACGCCCAAGGCGCAACTCTGCAATGTCCTTCTGCAAAAGGTCACATCAATAAAATGAACTCATAACACAGGAGCAAAGACTGCTACCAGGTAGAAGGTTGATGGGAGGTGACGTTTACAGGAGTTTTTTTTCATACAGTACTTCTTGACAAGTTATCTGCACAAGAAAGTTTCCCATCGCGAGCTCCCTCTTTTCCTTCCCTACCTTGGGTCGCCACTATGGGAGCGGCCTCAAGCCCCATTCCTTTCTCTAGCTCAGGACGCTGCAGCAGTTTACCGCCCTCCCCGCAACCACAACAGTTGGACAAACCGGAATGTTACTTTTAATTTTTTTTAAAGCCCTGCGATCTCATTTGTATGCAGCTCCGGCGAGGTCCTAAAATATCACACAGCTGTGAATCTTGGTTTCCTTTGGCAGCAGCGACACTTGGATACACATTTGCTTACAGTTTCCACCGCGCCCCGGAGACGTGCGCACAAAAACAGGGGCCTTCCCAGCGCCGCTCGCCC